TATCAATTCTTATCGAATATTGAACATTTTAAGCCGAACATGAATTAGCCATGTTTATACAAGCCTAGGACCCCATGTCATCTGCAATTTACATTCAAGGATTTCTCAATATCTCTGAAGAAAACAGAAGAAACATGGAACTGGAACTTGTGTGGCAAATTTTGGAGCACCTTTGGCGATCAAGGATGTTGTTGCGTCAATGAGGGTTCCTGTGCTGATCCGGGGCCAACCGCGCGCTCGTTTCCTATACCTATACCTCTCTCCTCATTTCCTATACCTCTTGTCGACAGTCAAGAGATGGGGATCATTGCCAAGAGAGTCACGCCGAAACAAGAAGACCATTGGCATTCGGTGTCCCACACCTATCCCTATTCAGCAAATGTGGCCTGGCTGACCTGGGGCTCAATGCTTACGTAAGACACTCATGTCCTCTGTAAGGCACTGTAAGGCAATGTGGGTAAAAACCGGCACAGGGAGCCCATAACTGTTTCAGGGGCACCGACCATTGTTAGAGGACTTCTGATTGGCATTTGCAGGCTCCGACCCTGCCTCTTTTTTTGGAAATGGGTAACTAGGGCCCAGACAGGCACCAAGCCGACTGTTCGGTATTGGTGGTCTTAGCCAGCTGATTGAAATAGGCACTCGCACCGTCCGAGGGGTTTCCTATTGGTGGAGGAGTCTCTGCTGACATTTGAGAGTCAGGTCTTCGTGGTGGGGTCCCTCCATATGACCTCCAGCCTGTCTTTTGGACCCTCCAATCAGGCCCTTGATTATCGGCCTCAAGGAGCCCAAAGGACCCATCCCCCCCGAATCCTCGGATCTAAGAACTTAAGGGGTGTCCCCTCTCCCACGTGTGGCCCTGATAGTGGCGCCTTTTAGAATTTGGTTCCTCATGAAAATTTATATTTTGAAGCAATTTGTGGTGTTTTTTTTAGAATTTGGCATCGCTTTAAAATGAAGGTTGTTAAAATGAAGGCCCATTGTGGTGCCCCTGTAATTGGTTGGGTCTTGAAAATAAAGGTTATGATGCCCCGAAATGGGAAAGGTTTTGGTGCCCCTTAGTCCATGGGGCTGATCCAGGATTTCATCAGAGTGAAAGACAAAGCAGTTTTGGTGCATCGGGAGCAAAAACGGAAGTATCGGAGCTTTTGGCCTCGTCCTTGGAGCCATCGCCTTGAAAGGGAGTCCATGTGACCTTAAGACTTTTTATGATGAATCTCCGTCATATTGTGCAATGGCACCCAAATTTGAAGCAGCCCAAAGGCATCCATTGCACGTGATTTAACACGGGCCCAGCGACCTGTGGGATATTCTTCGCTCAGATGGGGGTCAATTTGAGTCCGCTGAGATTTCAAGAACTGAGAGAGCTAAAAACACCAAATTCACCAGGTGTATTGATCTGTATGTGAACTCACTTAGCTCAGACTTTGATGCTCCTAGCTCATGACCTTCGGCTCAAATAAGGTCAATCAAGGTCAAATTTTAGGTTGGTTTCCAAAGGGCGCTTAGAACCTAGATGACTTCTAAGCAAAAGGCTACATGCTCATCTAGGGTTAGATACCTTGTTTGACCTCTCGAATGTCATGGTGGCCAAAATCATAGAAGACCTCGAATGTTATTAATAGAAGCTTTGAGTTTTGGATTTGGATAAGCGACAAAGATAACGCTTGACAGTATGTTCTTAAAGATGGGACTTTGATCTGAGCCAATCTAGGCCAGTGACCTATTCCGACCTTTAAGAAGTCTATGGAAGGTGTATAATGTGGTTCCTGTTAACCCTATATTCGAAATGAACACCAGAAGCTACGTCATATAGCAATTTCTAGAGCAATAAAACATGCTGTTTTTTTACTTTGGTCCGACCTTTATATTTCACCCTAAGTCAATGGAATTCGTTCATTCAATCGTTTTGTTGTCTAAAAAAGTATGTCAAAGAAGTATGACTTCTTCTAATACTGCGTTGTCGGATCAAATTGAACGATTCCCTAGAAATTGCCTTTGCTGAAACCATGGCCTGACTTTGAACTGTCACAGGTCATCGACCTTACAATGTACATCTAAATGTTATATGCCAGACGATCTGCTATTCAGTTCTCTACAGCTATGCCAAATTTGGCGCGGATGCGCCGCGCCGCTCGGAAACCATTCCGGAAAAATCTTCGGGGAGGGCTCAGTTTAACCCCCCGGCCTAGTGAGTGTTAACATAAAAACGTGCTTCTAGTTATTGCTCTTTCGGAGCAGCGGCGGTTCACGGCCTGAGCGGGCGAGCGAGCGGCAACTGACGAGGCCGTGGAGCGCGCGCGGCGGGCCGACATCGTTACATTAAAGGATATATTCCACATTTCAAGATACTGAGGCAAGCACCAGATGTGATGAAATAAACTTACTGATGATTATTGATTTACTTTTAAGTGAAGCAGACCAGTCTAGACAACACAATTCTTATGTTGCCCCGCAATGCGATATTGCTTGATTACGTCATCGTTCGTTGCAAAACATGTATTGACAGCCAACTGATTCCCGTTATATCTAGAAATTGTGCTCACAAACGTCAGATATGAACGACTGGACAATTATATTTTTCTTGGCCTTGATCGCCGTGCGGTTTATGAGACAGTAGAATTTCAATGACGTAACAATGGCGTCATGAATGCCTGGATGACGTTACGATAGTTTGTTTCCGTAGTAGTTAAATAGTCAAAATAGCCCTGCCGAAATAGTCCGCTCATCTTCGTGAGCGTGTAGCTCAGAAACCAGACGAGTTTGAGTCTCAAGAACGCCACGACTGTGAACTGTACCGTACGATCTTTAAGATGGGCGTTTCAGTTCAAAACCTCATACAACTGTGAAACACCCCTTTTAACCGTGCCATATATCATAACAATATTATCAAAACACATAAAGAATGCACACCATTGTACTAAGAATTGAATAAGATACACGCCTGTTTAGGTTTCGTGCAGCCAGGAGACATGGCCTCGTCTGTATGATGTTGTAAAGCTGAAAAATTGCGACCTTCTGGAAAATTTGATCTTTGACCTGAAACAGTGTGATCAATCATTGACATTACAACATAAAACTAGTACCAATCGCGAGATCTCGTCAGACCAATCCAATGGTGCCTTTCACTGAGCGCTGTCTTAATTAGTTTGGAAATGTCTGGCGCGAGCCCTGCAGCATAGATCCCATCCCCTATTAGCCCGCGTCATGAAAAACGTCGAACCAGGGCGAGGTTTAGTGGGCCGCTTTGACTTGATGCTTCTGGAGACAAATGTGATGGCTCGCCGACATGAAGGTTTTGGTGGCTATCGCCGAATGCGTCGATCCGCGGTTGCGTCAATGGATAGACCCGGACATTGCGGCGTCTTTTGGAGTTCGTTGTATGGAGTTCCTTAGAACTGGATGCTTGTGGAAAAGCAAGGATATGATGCGCCGAAATGAAGGATTTTTGTTGCCACTCCGCCGAACCGCGTGCGGTTCAAAATTTCGTCAGAGTAAATGGGCCAGAACATTGAGGCCCCGGAGTTTTTGTCGTCTTTTAGAATGATGGTATCATGCCCTTTAAATTGCCCCCCCCCCGCCTCTTTGGGATTTCGTGCCTCTTGGCGGTAAGGATTATGATATTCCGCAATGAAGGTTTCGGCGCAAGTTCGTCCAATGGTTCGATCCATGATTTCATCAGGGTGTTAGGCGCGATATTATTATTTTAGACTTTGTGATTTATGGACTATGATGCCTTTAGAGAATACAGTTCATGTGGTTCCGAAATGAAGGTTCTGACGCCCCTGCACCATGATATTTTGGTGCCCCTTCGGAGCACCAAACCTCATGAGGTCAGATGACGGGAGCGTGGCTCCATGCTACCCCTGGCATCAATACATGATATTGTGTGGCCCGATGCGAAAAATCGACATCATTCCTTCTTCTCGCAGTGACCTTCAAAAGGTCTCAATTAACCACGACACGACAGAACGTTTTGCGTTGAGTTAGCCAAATTGCTCACGTTAAAATTACAAGAATGAAGGAAGCAAATTTTAAAGGGCTAAGCTACGTCTTAAAGGTTCAATTCATGCAGCTTCATCCGCAGCTCGCTGAAATGCAGACGGTTTCTCTGTCCATGGCCGTTTGTCACAGTTGGCCGTTTCGTACTGGATGGTGTCGCATGTCAGCGCACCGAGCCGTGCGGAGGTCACACAACAGCTGGACGGCAGCCGTGCGGCCGCCACACAACAGCTGGACGGCAGCCGTGTGGCCGTCACACAACAGCTGGATAGCAGCCGTGCGGCGTCACACCACAGCCGGACGGCAGCCGTGCGGCCGTCACACCACAGCCGGACGGCAGCCGTGCGGCACTCACATCACAGCCGGACGGCAGCCGCGTGGCCGCGCCAGTGCGGGCCTCCCTTACCAGCACCCCTCTCCGGGGTATTGCGAGCGCCTGGTCGGGCATTGAAGCCCAGTCATGACTAGTGCATGCAGCTTACCCCGGATAAAGGGAGTGTTGCGACGATAGAGGATGAAGCGCGAGTGGGGAAAGAGCGGCGGGTGAGGCGGGCTCCGACAATATGACAGCACTTCAGGACAGTATTTCCATATTAACTGATCGATCTTTCCCGAAATATTGTCTGATTACCAATTACCGTAAAAGTCACACATGGCTGCTTGTTAAACTGAAGCCCACATGCCTGGCACGCGCTGGTCAGCGGCCGACACTCGGCTAACCGGCTGCCGGTTAAAGGCGCTTCCTCGTCCCTACAAGTCAACATACAGAACCTTAGGATTTCATATCACACCTTAGAACGCAAGACTAGGCCCTCGCTCGTCACCCTGCGGTGTCGGATCCGACGGGTAAGGCCGGGTGCTCCGTTGACGTCATCGGTGGCGCGTCCGGCCGCGGCCGGACTGGCTGACGCCCCGCCCCCGCGCCGCCGCTGGCTCCGCCCACGGCGGCGGCCGCTATCGCCCGGCCGGCCGCCGTCGGCCAGATAGTGGTGGTCGGAGCGCTGCCGAGATAGGCGCCGGGCGCAGCCAGCAGGCCGATACCGGCTCCGGGCGGCCGCTATCTCGCCGAGAGGTCAAGGTGAGTGCGCCGTCCGCCTGCCGGCCGCCAGTGGCGATGGCTGCCGCGGTGTGGTGCTGCTCGGCCACCTCTGCGTGACCGGCGCGCGGCGGGTGGGGCGGAGCTGACAGACCCGCTGTCGGCGAGACCACGGTTGAGAGCGGTGCCGCGGTTGAGATCCGCTGTCCGTTGGAAGGAGCTCAGTCTTTCCGGTAGGCGTCGGTGGCTTGTGCTCTCGTGGAGGCGCCACTGGGCGCTTCATACGAACGGCGTCAGCAACGAGCCATGGGCTCGTACTAGGCTATTTCCCATAACTATTCCCTGTTGCATTCACTCACAGTTTCCTCAATTACCTCCCCGTGCAAAGTGAAGCAACGGCGGACAAAGACGCGGTCACCTACTGATAAAGCACCGGCTAGACTGAAGGTCAGAGCTCCGAAAAGGATGCACCTCCAATATTTATAAACCCGAACGTTTCCGGAACTTTCACCCTAGTTTAATCAGGGCGTGACTTTTGGATAATTACCGGACTCCAGAGGCATCAAAGACGTCAGTTGTACCTCTGGAGTGTGTGTGCGTCCGAGGATGGCGTGGGACTGATACTGTCGCGTGCATCAGACGGTGGAAAAGTGCACGAGCCAGCATTTCGGTCAGGTGCCCAGATCAAGCCAATTGTGACCACGCCCAATGGCTCATGATTGTGGAAGCCATATATATTCTCTGTTTCCGATGGACATAACGTATGGGTTTGATTCTCGCCAACGACATAGGCGTAAAGGGCGGGAGTGTGGTTCCCTTTTCAGTTGTCACATCCTCTTCTTCTCTCCAACATCACCAACCAGCTGAGACATTCCGGTATGTGTCGGTGGCCAGTGATCTCGTGGTGGCACCACTGGGCTGGAGCGCCTGGTGGCGCAGCTGGAGCATTCGCAGGTGTCAGCTGATTTGTGGTGCTGCTGCCTTGGAAGGTGCGCTGAGGCAAGGTCGACGCCAGTTAGGGGTTCAATTCCCACCACACCTGGCGGAATGAAAGCGATATTTGTGAAACATTTCACACATGCGTATGTCGAAATCCTCCATTCTTGCTCCGCAGCAGTCGGCAATATGGTTACAATATGCTTACAATACGCAACAGCAAGTATGTTTCTAAGGCTTCAAAACTTGAGGAGCGCATGATACGCGCCACGCATGGCGCTGGACGCTGCACTCCACTGTGGTCTAGTGGGAACACCAGCTGCCTGGCTGCACGGCTTGTGACAAGCGCAGCGGTCTTTCGACATATGTCGGGTTACGTGGGTTATTTCAAAACGCCTCCAGTTCAGACTGGAAATCAATCAAGTCTAGGGCATCGCTGTCTCTTTTATAACATCCGATCTTTTCTGATCAAGGGCTGGTTTATCGTCTTCTCCTGTGACATCAATATTGGCTTAAGGGGACTGGGCCCGTAAAAAAACCGTTCGGAGCTTAAAATGTGCAATGTTGCTGCATGCTGCCTTGATTCATTTGGGATTTTTTATTGGGAGTTTTTTCTTTCTTTGCAATATATCTCCATAGAGTTTGCTCTAAATCAGGTGTCATGGATGAAGGCACTGCATAGTGGTAGTTATATGAAGACAAGGCTATATAACGAGATGGTTCCAAAAAGGGGCGGCTCAAGCTGTTGCATACAAGAACTCCAATGACTTCTACACCAACTAACCTTAAATCAGACGTTTGTTGATAGTGCGTTTTGCTGGTACCTAGAGGCAAAATCCAGCAAGAGGCTTCAAAAACCTGAAGTGTTTTGTCAAACAGCGTTCAGAAAATTATATTATTTCATGTAATTTGCTGTCATAACTATTTTAACCATCACCTGATAGGGGGCGCACGTATGCCGCGGAACAGGCGGGGTGGGCCGACATCATTACATTAACGGAGCTACACATCATAAAGACATGGTCTAAATAAATCAGTCATACAGAAGTGGATTTAGAATTAAACAAGAAATACGCCTGTTTAAGCTTCGTGTCGCTACGGGGCATTGTCTCGTACATATGAGCATGCAAACCTGAACAGGTTAGGTTATCGGAAACATATTACCTTTGATCTTGGACAATGGGGTCAGTTATTGACCCAGTAACTTTGTTAAATTTGATCCGAGCGCTTTGAACGTGGATGGATTTCTGGGATCAGAGCTCACGTTAAGCAGTGCTTGGTGTGTGAGCCCTGACCCCTGCCACCCGATCGCGCATCTCCATGTCAACGGCAGAAATTGGCGGCGAAAGTTTAACGTGCCGTAATGCTCGGCACCGTCCGTCCTGCCCTCTGATATCAACTGACCTTTACCGCGATCGCTGCCACCGGCCTCAGGCCACACTTGTCAGGGGCAAATAGCGAGCGCCTAAAGCGACTCGAACCCACCCGCCACGGGTGGATGGATCGGAAGGCATGCGCCCTAACCAACTGAGCCACCGGGACGGGAGGCACCATTATTACTACTAATCGCGAGATCTTGTTAAGAGCAATCAACTAGTGTTTTCTACTAAGCTCTATCTTGCTTAGTTTGGAAGCGGCAGGCGGAGTCGCATCGAGCCTTTTCCCCTTCCCCGTCAGCTTTAGGAAAACGGCACTTCAAGACGAGGGTTCAGATCTGCGCCGGAGTGGCGAGTAAATTTAACATCCCTCACAAATGTAGTCTTGGACATCCAATACGGGCTAAGATGCACAAAAACATCATACATAAAGCTCAAATAATGCACCTTTGTGTCAAACTTGTCTAAATAGAACACTTCCTTCGCTGCAGTCTTCAGAAGTTTACAGTTATCACCCATCACTCGCTTACATTGGTCGCTCTTTGTTTGTTCGACTTTGTTGTTTGCTTACATTTTCTGCTTCGTGGCAAGCGTGCAAAGCTGTCCCATTGAGACAGCTTTGCACGCTTGCAACAGTAAATTCAGTGATGTAAATTCTTGCACACAGTAAATTCATTGGCCAGTTTTGATAAGTGGCTTAAGTGATGAAGCCTGTTTTAAATGATGTGGGAAGGGCATGATAAGATGCTTTATCAGGAGGTCCCAAAGCTGTCTCATTGGGACAGCTCTTCACACTTGCCACGAAGCTTCGGTGAAGGTCAAGCGTCGGAGTCAGCCCCTGGAAATTTCAATTATGATAGGATTTGTATCCTTAGCGATCAAACAAAGCTGATGCAGGAATGTCTGAATATTTGACGTGTCTGAGACTTATTATTGCAAAACGTTGTGTATTGAAATGGTCTCCACATTACAAGAGGTAAAAGAGCTGTTTTGATGACCTTAACTCATAGAACGTCCTGAGAGGAGGCTTTAATATATCGAGGACCTACCTTTCATCATAGGAAGGCTTTGTCATCCTCATTCAGTGATCAGTTTTGATAAGCGGTTTAGGTGATGAAACCTTTTGTTAAATGATGTGGGAAGGGCATACTAAAATACTTTGTCGGTATGTTCCAAGATCGATAAGGAGCAAGATTCGGCAATTGGCTTACTCTTAAGTAGACAATCCATGATGTGCCGTGTCAATAGAAACTACATTCTTACTCGCAGAAACGACAAAACTAGGGCGGATCCCAGAGTATAATATTGTTATTGCATTTCAAAGTTTTACGAATTCAGGACTAAGCTGGTAGTGAGTGCATTGCGATAAACCCCACACATTTGTCGCTCATCTCTCTCAGCCCAGAAAAAGCACGATTTGCCAAGACACGCCCACCACTTTACATTGACAGGGACCATTGTATACCACAGATCATGGTTTACATGCGAAGCATATTGTCATTTCACTCAACCATTTTCCGTGGTCTATAACACTACAATGAACCTCACAGTGAGTTGGTCGACGAAAAACATTCAATACCCCGAGGGGACAAAGTTAAAGCCCAAGAAAGCAGCATGTCGGTAGCATGTTATCTGTGTTGTCCGAGCATCGCCATAATGGCATAGTGCGTTAAAGGCAGCGTGCCACTATTGGTACTTCTTCATCGTCGCTAGATCACACACGTCTGATTTGGTTTGTGCTACCAGTTTTCTCAATATCCTCTGGTGTAATTCAGCACTTCAAATTTAAGTAGCCGCTCCGACCAAACAATGTTATTTGGCTCCCTGCTTGCCACCAAGAAATCGGTAGTGCTGTAATGTTATCAATAGCTCTGCTTCTCCCAGCACGTGTTTTGTATAATGTTCGCAATAAACCAATTGGTCAAAATGCGTGCGCAGAATGGTAGTTCAAAACACTCCGTTTAGGGAAATGCATGACAAGTATGAGGCAGTTATCACGCATGCAAATTTAACGAAACATCATGCTATGACACTAATTTTTCCGCTATGCCGCAAGTACAGCGACCCTCTCCGAAGGGCACTTCGCCTCTGGAAAACACTGTTTTATGTTCGCTTGGTGGCATACTGTTTTTGCACAATGTGTGTATATCTGGGATATATGTTGCGTGGTCTAGTGACACACATGTTTAAGATTTGACCAATCCACTTCTCTCTAAATGACTTACGCCGCCCGCTGGAACACTCACAAAATTTTATTTTTTCAGATGTCGTTCATACTCATGAAACGCTGAGGATATTCTGACCACTGCGCTTCAAGTATACCAGGTGTCTGATTGCTGTCGCTCGCAGGTAGCCATTCCTCTTAATCATGGCAATTTCCATGCCAATTTTTAAGGATATCGACGTGAAATTCCCGCGTGCAGTCGCGGAGGTTACTATTAATACTTCCCTCGAATGTGGTTTACACGCCAACATTGTCCATACTGGAAATGAAACATAGGGATACAGAAAGAAAAAAATATAGTGTCGTGTCGGAACGATCACAGCATAATTTGGACTTGAAAAGGATTCGAATAAATGTCCCTATGATATGTTTGCGCTGCGGTGGCTCTCACCAATGCAGTTGTTAAGCATAACTGGCCCCAAGGTTTCACCAAAGAAAGTTTTTCCAATATGTCCCAAAGATGGCACATTTCATTTAAGGGTCAGTTTGCCCTCAGACTGGTTTCG